GCATACTAGCTAGCCTGGGGCATAACACTGATGTGATGTGACAACACAGGTGTCATCATTGTACCAATAAGGTGAAGCCCACCAAGCTCCAACTTGGGTGCCAAGTCACTAACTATGAGTAGAGATGTGTCACATTCTCAACCATTCTCCCAGCCTTGCTCCTTGGAGTGACATTACAACATTGATACTTGCTTGAGGTTTCCAGGTGATGCTTCTGGTGTTTCTCCTGTGTCATCTGGCAGCAGGTGAGGAAGATCTTTTTGCACTCTTCCTCCTGAATGTTTTGAGCCCGCTTCTCACAGCTGTGCCCCATGGGGTTCTCATACGTCCCATCTTCACAGCATCTTCTCAGCTGCTCATTCTGGTACCAGGCCACTGAAACGGTACAAATCACAAAGTCCTGGCTACGGTGCCTCTATTGGCCCTCTTGTATCTTGCACGGAGAGTTTTCTTAATTCTCTTTACTGACTTCTGGAATCAGCCAGAGAGAAAGAGGAGTAAAGGCTGGTAGAACTGACACTATCTTTTGGCCACCACAATGTGTATGTCACCCCAGTTAAGACTTCCTTGCTCTCACATCCTCTTCTTGCTGTGTAGTTGCACCCCCTTATTCATCACCAAAGGTGTAGCAAGAAAAGTTGCTGACCCAGAGGGAGTTAGAAAGTGTATGTTAAGGAGTCTGCCCCTATTTAACTTGCGCCTTATTTCAGCCCTTAAGGCCTGGTCTGCACAACAGAGCTAGGTCGATGTAAGGCAGCTTAGTTCAACGTAACTCTGCAAGGCTTGACACTCAAACTGTAGCTCCCACCAGTGAAAGTTGCCCACTGCACCAACTTAATGATTTCATCTCTGTGAGAGGCACAGTGCTTAGGTTGATGTAGTTAGCACAACACCATGTCAGCGCTGACACTGAATCGCCTACACTCATTGTTTCTGCCTTGCAGAAGCCATCCCACAATGCCCTCCACTGACAGTTAAATCAGTGCAAGTGCTCCTGGTGAGGATGTGTTTCTCTGACATAGGAGTGTAATGTGGTTGTGCAAAATGGAATGAAATTACTACAGTGGCTGTAGGCCAAAGTAATTTGTCAACTTAATTTTGTGATGTAGATTTAGGCTAGGTCTACGCTAGACTTGGAAGGTCAGGTTAAGGTAAGCAACACCAGCTATGTAGAATATGTAGCTGGAGTCAGCTTACCTTAAGACGAGCTTGGTGCTGCCCCCACAGTAGAAGGTTAATGGAAGTAAACGCTCTTGTTGGCTTTCCTTACTCCTCACAACTGCCAGGGGTATCAACTGAAGCCACCCTCAGCATTCAATTTAGCAGGTCTTAACTAGACTCCGCTAAATTGAATGCCAGAAGATCGATGTCCGGCACGGCAAGTGAAGACATGCACTGTGTGTGTAAGAACAAGTCTTCATTTGCTGTGCTGGGAGTTGACCTTTTGGCATTTGATTTAGCAGGTCTAGTTAAAACCCATAAATCAAATGCTGAGGGCAGCTCCAGCCAGCACCTGTACTCTTCACAGTTGCAAGGAATAAGGGAAGCCGACAAGAAGAGCATTTGCTCCCATTAGCCTCCTGATGTGGGGATGCTGTCACAGTTGGCTTAAGATAAGCTGACTCCAGCTACATATTCTACATAGCTGGTGTTGCTTACCTTAAACCGACCTAGCGTAGGCCTGGCATGAGTTAAACCAACTTGAGTCCCTTAGACAGCTGCAGCATAATATAATTAAAACAGATATCCTCATCTTTCCTCCTAAACCTTCTCCAGTCCCTCCTTTCCTCTCCCCTTTCTCCCAAACTCAGAATCTGAAGGCTACATCTACACTGCAGGTTTCTTGCACAATAACTTTTTGTGGAAGATCTCTTCCACAAAAAGTTATTGCACAAGGGCGCATCCACACTGCCATGTGCTTTTGCGCAAGAGATGTCCTTTCACAGAATGGCCATCAGAGCATCTGTGCTTTTTATGATAGGGGTTTCTTGCACAAGTAACCCCTGTTGTCCGTCCACACATACCTTTTTATGCAAGAGCTCTTGTACAAAAAGGCTTATTCCTTGTAGAAAGAGGAATAACTCCTGTGCAAAAAGCCCTGTCTTCTGACAATCTACTGTACTTTTTCTTGCACAAAAACGCACTTGTAGTGTGGATGCTCCACGCGTTTTTGCACAAAAATGGCTGGTTTTGCTAAAAAAGTCTGCAGCGTAGACATAGGAAATAGTCACTCACCTTCATCTCCCACGGACAACAGTGAAATAAGTCATATGCATTGGGAACGGGGCTGAGGATTTTGCTCATCTCTTCATTTTTAGAAATTGTTCAGTCTGGGGACATAGGCTACTTGCTTTGCTGGACAAATGGTTTGATCAGAGATGGCAAATCCTATTTCCCTAATCTAACTTGTACCTACCTTGCTTTGTCTTAGAGAGCTGAACAGAGCGATGCCTGCGCACTGCTGGCTGGGGGCACTGTGGATCTGCAGAAGATGACAAATAACAAATGAAACTTTGGGGGAACAGAGTCCAGTCCCTGTGCCATACTCTGTGCTTGGTCTCTCTGCTGAGACAACGACAAGGGGGACAGTTAATGATCATCCAGGTGTTACTTTTTGTGATCTAACAATAAGATCCTGTTCTTCTCTGGCACTTTTCCTTGAGGATCTGAACGCATGGTACAAAAGGTGAATATCATCATCTCCATTTTATAGATGGAGAAATTGAGAGGCACGCAGGTGGAGAGACAGAACTGAATCAATGACCTAGAAGTGAAAGACTCTGGAATCCCTTGACTAACACCCTGAGACAGCCAGAGATCCGGCAATCACAGAATCCTAGGACTGGAAGGGACCTCGAGAGGTCTTTTAGTTTAGTTCCCTGTATTCAAAGGAGGGTTAAGTCCCATTTGGACTAAGGGTTCTCAAATTGGGGCTCTGAACCCTTCAGGGAAACATGAGGCTATTACATAGGGGAGGTTGCAAGGTGTCGGCCTCCACCCCAAACTCCACTTTGCACCCTGATTTTATAATGACATTAAGTACATAAAAAGAGTTTTTACTTTATTGGGGATGGAGGGGTTACACTCAGAGGCTTACTATGTGAAAGGAATCACCAATACAAAGTTTGAGAATCACTGATCTAGACCATCCCTGACAGGTGTTTGTCTAACTTTCTCTTCAAAAATCTCCAAAGATGGAAAAAATTCTAGGACTGAGAAAACAAGCAGGCAATTCCAGCTCTCCACACTAGTACCTGTTCTTGTAGGTGTTGAAATCTTAACATTTGTCACCAAGGCCAGTCCAGCATCTGCAAAGACGCCCAGAATGTTCTTACCGCTGCCAGCTGTGCAACCAATGTCGCTATTCTCAACAGCATCCCAGATCTGTGCAGAGTGGGAAAGTGTCAAGCAGATTCAGTGACTAGGAGCAGCCAGAACCTTGATTTTATATCTTGTCTGGGATAAACCTTCCAGCAGCAAGAGGTCCCTCTGGCCTATTACACAACACAGTGCTGATTCAGACACCAGAGAGTTACATACTGAGTCACTGAGGCTATGTCTAGACTGCAGAGCTTTCCTGGGATACCTCCAGAACAATTTCCGAAAAAGCAGATGTGTTCTTTTGCCATCCCTATAAACCTTGTTTTACAAGGAAGAAGGGATGGCTTAAAAGAGGAGGTTTTCCTGAAAATTGTAGACTTCGTACCAGATGAAAATACAGGCAATCAGTGCCTTCAATAGGAAATTAATATTTCTCCCCCCCCCCTCAGTTTCTTTAGAAGTAGGAAAGATAATAGCAAGAGCTTGACACACAGTATTTGCAGGTGCCGACTCATCCTGTCATTAGGCAGAATGTCAAATAAAAAAGCAGTTATTTATCTTTTGCAATTTTTCCATTACACTTCGTTGGCCTTGCTAGAGTCCTAGGCCTAACTAGTAGCACGAAGCAAAAGCTGTGAACCAGAGAGTGCTTGGCTCTAGCACACTAGCAACACACAAGGTCTTAGTAAGCACATTCCTGTCCTAAGAAAATAGAGAAACACCCAGAATTCTCATGTAACTGCAGATAGTACAAGGACACACTGGCTGTGTCTAGATTGCATCCCTTTTCCGTAAAAGGGATGCAAATTAGACACAGCGCAATTGCAAATGAAGCGAGGATTTAAATCTTCCCTGCTTCATTTGCATAAACATGGCTGCCTCTTTTTTTCCGGCTCGGGGCTTTGCCGGAAAAACGCGCCAGTCTAGACAGGGATCTTTCGGAAAATAAAGCCTTTTCTGAAAGATCCCTTATTCCTTATTTTAAGAGGAATAAGGGATCTTTCGGAAA